AATTATATAGGCAACGTTAGCGCTAGTAACTATCCTATAGACCTTAGAGGCAAGTACGCTACATATAACTCTTTTATACTTTATTAAGCTAAAGTAGACAATATTACTAGTTAATTTAAAGCTTTTACTATTAGCAGTAGGTTACTTAATAATTTATTTATTAGTAAAAACTATAATAAAGCTAAGTTAAGAGGTAAGGTTATAGTTATTTATAAATAAGCTATTAATAAATATAAAGAGCTTAGTAGTTATAAGGTTAATTAGTAAGAATTATAGGCTATAGTTAAGGTTATTAATTTACTATTTAATTTAGTAGTTTAGAGTTTTAATTTCTTTTACTATAGGTAATTAGTGTTAAGTAGTAACTAAATAGTTAAAGTAAGCTTTAGGTTAATAAATAAAAGTAATATATACGCTATAGGCGTATTACTAGATATAATCTTGCTAGGCAGTAGGTAATTTCTTGTTAATAAGTTAAAGCTTTTTACCTTAGCCTTTTTAGTAAAAGGTAAGCTTACTATTAGTAGTAATAGATAATATACTACTATTAAAAGTAATAAAGTTATTAACTATTAGAGTATTAAAAAAATATGATACAAATTTGATACAAATACAATACATGTATTTGTATTTTTTTTCTAGTACGATACAATACATGTATTTGTATTGTATTTTTTCCTATACATAATATAATATAAATACAAATACATGTATTGTATTTTGTATATTATACAAAATACAAACAAAAAATACAAGATTAATTCTTTTTATATATATTTATATAGTAGTCTAATAATATATAAGTAAAAATATATTAGTAGGTTTATATATATATCTATATATTAAAAAAAATATTTTATTAATACTAATACTATTACTTCTTTATATATATTATATATATTTAAAGTAGTTATATATTATTTACTCTTAGTTACTTAGTTATTAATACTAAGATTTCTAATATTATTACTATAAAAAGTATTTAGAATAATATTAGTAATATAGTATTCTTTTACTTCTTTAATATTATAATTTAAAACACTATTTATACTACTTTCTTCCCAGTTATAATAATTATAACTAATACTATACTCTATAGTATTACTAATAAGATTCTATTATATAATATATTAGTATAAGTTATAATTTATCTTTAATTATATATAATTTTAAAAACTAATAAGTTACTTACTTTAAATTCCTTATAAGTATTATTAGTAATACTATTTATTTCATTATTAAATACTTTAAATAATAGTAGCTTTAAAGAATTACTTATAATACTATCTTTATCTTGTATTATAATATTATATAGTATAGTATAAGGATTAAATATCTCTAAAGTATTAATATTCTGTTGGTCTTGTAAATCTTGTTGTTTAGTTTCTTCTTTTTCTAAGTCTTCTAATAATATATTATAGATAGAAGAAATATAACTACTAGAATCTTCTATTAAGTTAACTATATCTATAACACTACTACTAGTATTATTATTTACTATAAGATTTAAGGTATTATAGTAGTTAACTTTATTATTAAAGTCTAGGTATTTCTGATAATAAAATATACTAAGAGGTAAAGAGGATTCCATCTAAGTAAGTAAAGTTAGCTAAAAGAAATAAACTAATTATATTCTTCTTAAATATTAAAGTACTTACTATAAAGGATATATTTAGTATTTTATTAATAATAAATATAATATAGCTTAAGAAAAAGGTTATTTATAAAGGACTATATTTAGAATAATAACTAATAAATATAATCTATAGATAATAAGGTAATACTTAATAATATAATAAGATATTAAAAAAATAAAAAGATATAAATCTTAAGAATATAGATATTAAGATATTTATATTTTAAAAATACTTTACTAAGTATTATTATATAGTATTATTATATATAAATATTATATATAATTCTTATAAGTTTTACTTTATAGAATAATTCTATAAAGCAACTTTATAAAGTATATAATCTAAAGTATAATATAAACTATATATAGTTATATTATATATTTTATACTACTATAAACTAATTATACTTAAGTTTTTATAACTTTTAAGGTATAACCTTATAAAATTATATAATTTATAACTATACTATATAGTTATATATATAGTTTTATTATATATACTATACTACTATAAACTACTTTTACTTAATCTTTTTATAACTTATAACTTATAACCTTATAGAATTATATAGCTTATAACTATACTATATAGTTATAAGCTATATAAAGTATATTATAATATATAAATATTTAAAATATTATATTATAAGATATTTAAAGTAAATAAAGAATATAAGTCTTAATATAAAAAAGTACTATACTTTACTAAAATATAATTATTATTTTAGTATTACTATATATATTAACTTAAACCTTATATTATATATATTATTTTTAAAAAAAAGATAAAAAACTTAAAATCTTATAATTATTATAAAACTTATATATTTCCTAAAGTAGTAATTAGTGGGGCTAATAAGTTACTTACTTAAATAGGAAAGGCTTATAAAATCCTAGTGTTTTTATACTTTTTTCTTACTTCTGCACTCCTACCTTACTATTGTTTTTATACTTTCTTCTTACTTATGCACTCCTACCTTACTACATATACGAGGTAGTAATACATAAAGACCTGCATTAGAACCAGAAAAAATCAGGTTTTTTAACTAGACTAAGGGTAAATATTTATCCCCTTTTATTTCTAAGAATTCTAAGGAAAAAAGAAGAAAAAGAAGAAGAAGAATATCTATATATACTCCTTAAATCCTCCTTTTATTTTAGATAGTCCTTAGAATAAGAAATTATACCTTTCTCTATATATTAGATATAATAGATTCTTTTACTCCTTTAGCTAGTTTACTAGCAACAGACCTTACTGCTTAACAAGTTATTATTCAAATAATAGCTCAGCACTTTCCTCAAGGTCTTTCTCAAGCCCCTCCTAGTTATATCTCTCCTAAGAGGTACTACTAGCTTCTCCTCCTCAAGAGCTTTCTAATGATACTACTCTTACCCCTATCGACCTTTTTTCTGAATTTATAGAGTATCCAGAAGATATTCTATCTTCTTTTACCCCCCAAGAAGATACTTTAACCCCTTCTACCCAGCTTCCAGCTCTAGAAGAAAGCTTTCAGCCTTCTTTTATACCTTAGTTAGTAAGTAATAATTATTATAGTATTTATATATATATATATTAATTAGTTATTATAGGGGGTATTAAAGAAGTATACTTGTTCTTTTTGTAAGACTTCTTATAAGTCTAAGAGGTCTTATGCATCCCATATGCGTTGGTTTAAGCGGAAAGGAGGAAAGTGTTCTAGAAAATAGGCCTAGTATATAGTTAGTATATAGATATATATACTATATATTTTTCTTAAATATTTTACTTAGATATTTAAACTTATTATCTAATTAAATAGTTATAAGTAAGTAGTATAAGTTAAGAAATTACCCTAAAAAGGTCTTATAGTTATAGTAAGTAGTTATATAATAATTAAAAGAATATTAAGAATATTACTTTATATAAACAATAAGCTAGTTTAGAAAAAGTAGATATTTTTAAAAGAAAAGTACTCTAGAAAAGGTCTTATAGTTATAGTAAGTAGTTATATAATACTTAAAAAGATATTAAGAATATTATACTATATAAGTAAAAGGTTAGTAAAAGAAAAGTAAACATCTTAAGAAAAAGTACCCTAGAAAAGGTCTTATACTTATAAGTTATAGTAAATAGTTATATTATACTTAAAAAGATATTAAGAATACTATACTATATAAGTAAAAAGTTAATTAAGTAAAAGTAAATATTCTAAAAAAAGTACCCTAGAAAAGGTCTTATAGTTATAGTAAGTAGTTATATAATAATTAAAAAGATATTAATAATACTATACTATATTATATATAAGTAAAAGATTAGTTAAGTAAAAGTAAATAATCTAAAAAGAAGTACCCTAGAAAAAAGTCTAAAAGTTATATAGAGTATATAATATTAATACTTAAGAAGATCTTATATAAATAATATATAATATAAATAATCTAATAAGTAACTTATAATTTTAAATTATAAGTATCTTTAAAAAGCTATAAACTTTATATTTATATACTATACTAATAATATTTATACTTATAAGTTTATTTATATAGTTTATAGTTATATCTTATAATTATATTCTATAGTTTTAGTTTATAGTTATACTTTATAGTTATACTTTATAGTTATACTTTATAGTTATACTTAATAATTATAGTTTATAATTATATCTTATAGATTATAGTTTATAGTTATACTTTATACTTATAGACTATAAGTAATAGTTTATAAGTTATAGTTTTTACTTATAGCTTATAGTTATACTTTATACTTATACTTTATAATTATAGTTTATAGTTATACTTTATAGTTATAGTTATAGTTTTATCTTATAGTTATATCTTATAGTTATACTTTCTTAGTTATATACTTTAATATATAGTAAATAATTATAATAAAATAACTATATATACTATCTTTTTCTCTCTTTCTAATTCTTTATTTTATCTTTACTATTAACTATATTTTACTTAACTTATAACACTATATACTATATTACCTATAATATAATATATAAATATAACCTTAAGAAAGACTACTTACTATATTATATTATAACTATTACTTTAAAATAACTTATTAAAACCTATAAAACTATATTTTATATTTTATTATTAAATATATCTAAAAAAAAATGGCAGCATCTAACGATTCTTATTCTTTTCACGAGAGCTCTTCTAATATAACAGATAGCGAAGCTTCTTCTTAAGTTACAGCAAACTCTTTAACTAATAAAATAAAGGAAAAAAAAATCAATATATAGACACATCAGAGAATAGTCTTACTTATACTATTAAGCCTACTAATTCTTATATTATAGTAAATAAGCTATTTACTTATAATTTAAGTACTATTAACTATAGTAGACCTAGGGAAATTATATGTAAATGTAATATGCCTAACTGTAACTTTAGCTTTAAAACTAAGGCTAAAAGATTTCAAGCTAGCCAAGGCCAAGTACATTATAAACAAAAACATCCTAATATAATTATTAAAGAAGAAGAAGAAGGAGATCCTTCTAAAATATCTAGTAAGTTATATATATATATATATATTATTTTATTTATTAGATATTATTCTTTTAAAGATATTAACTAACTCTTTAACTCTCTATAGTTAAAAACTGGATTAATAGTAGAAATCACAGAATAAGTCAAGCAAATATTAATAACTTTATAAGTAATACTTCTATAAATAGTAACTTTAAAAGACCTCGGCTTTTAAATACTATTTTTGAACCAGAGACAGCAGTTATTAACTGTATTAAGTTTTTAATTAATAATAACTTACCTTTTTATATTATTACTTCTAATGACTTTAATAATTTATTAGAATATTTTAATCGTAAGTTAATTTTTAAAAATAATATTCTATAGCTTATAATAGTATTTAACTAACTATATTTATTATATTATAGTAATAGTCCTAAGTTATACTATAGTAAAGTAATAAGTAGTATTAATACTTTATTTAATACTACTAAAGATACTATATTATTTTACTTAAGTAATCACTTTAATAACTATGGTTATATATCTTTACAACTAGATATATAGACTTCTATAGACTCTAAGAGCTACCTAGGCGTTATAGGTACCTTTATTAATAGTGACTTTATATTAGACTATAAAATCCTAGGTATTTAACTTTTTATTATTTAATTACTAATATATTATATTAAGAGTATATATACTAATAATATTAATAGGCTTTGAGGCTCTAGATAGTGCACATACTGGTGTATATCTTAGTAAAGTATTTAAGTCTAATATTATAGAAGGTTATAATATTCCTTTTAGTAGAGTTATAAGGTAAGTATTAAATTATTAAATTATATATAAATAATAAACTAGTAACTAACTTATTATAGCTTTACTAGAGATAATAGCTATAATAATAATACTTTTTTATCTAATATTATTAATAATTATAAGTTATCTTATAATAACAATATATTTAATATTAGGTGTGCTGCACATGTATTTAATATTGTTGCTAAAGATATTGTTAATACCTTTATTAATACTTCTACTGAAGATACTATTATTAAAGAGTTTAAGAATATTGCTATTATTAACGATTATAATAGAGAAATTAAAGAATTAAATACTACAGAAAAAGAAAAAGTCTTAAAGGCAAATACTAGTAAGTCTATTACTTTTTTAATAATAACTTATTAATAATAATAATAATTTAATAAATACTAATTATTATCTCTATAATATTAGGTATTATAGGCGCTATTAAAAGAATAGCTATATTACTTAAAAATAATACTAGCTTATATAAAGAGTTTTTACAAGCTATTAAGTATAATAAAGAGCTTAAAGATCCTACTATACCTTATAACTATAATAGAACTAAAATACCTCTTTATAAGTTTATAAAATAAGTTATAAATTATATTAATATTATTATATTTATATATAAACTAATAATTTAATAGGTAATAATACTAGATGGAATTCTGTATATATAATGATTAGTACTGCTTTAGAATTAAAGCAGCCTTAATTACCCTAGGGTCTAGTACTAAAAACCCTATATTTAAAGCTATAATTCCAAGAAACTGGTTATAACTACAGCATATTAAGGATTTATTAGAAGCTTTTTATGCCCCTACTATACAAATGCAATATTAAACCTTTACTACTATAGATAAGCTATTATTTTAGGTTACTAATATTAATTTAACTTTAGAAAGGGAGTTAAATTACCATAAAGAACAGCAAAAGCCTATAGTAGGAGACTTAGTAAGTTATTAATCTTTTATATTAATATAATAAACTACTATAAATATCTTTAAGTTTATTATTAAAGATAATTATTAAATATTAATTTAATTTTACTAAACTTACTAATATATTTTATAGAGTAATAAACCACAAGACCCTTATGCTAAGCACTTTATAGATGCTATAGAAAAAGGAAAAAATAAGCTTAATACTTATTTTTCTTTACCTATTACACATGCTAATTATCCTAAATTTAAGCCTTATATTTTAGGTTCTATTTTAGAACCTAAGTGGAATATACAACAGTTTTTTAATAATACTTATTTAAAGGCTTATTTACCTTCTTGGCTAGAGGTAAAAGTAAAAGAAGATCTTAAAGAAGAATATAATAAGTAAGTAACTTAACTATAATAACTATATTAATATACTTCTAGTTATTATATTTACCTTTAATATACTTATAGTTATAATATACTAATTTATTATTTCTATATTTTAGGCTAAAACAAAAGATTATTAAAGATCTAGAAAAAAATAATAAAGAAGAGTTATATATTCCTAGTTTAAATAAAACTATTAAAATTAAGGATAATAACTATAACTCTGATTCTTCTTCTGATCTTCGTACTAGTAGTACTAGTAAAAAAGCAGATAGATTTACTATAGATTTATCTAAGCCTAGAGAAGGGCCTATAGGTAAAAATAAATTAAAAATACCTATTCCTAAGCCTAAGCCTAAGGAATTTAAGGATTTTTACCCTATACAAAGTAAACAACAAGCAGCTAAAATAAGAGAAAATAAATTAGAAAATTATTATTCTTTATCCCCTATAGGAAACAAAGTAAGTAAGACTTTTAATATATTTAACTAGTTTAAAAACTATAAAAGATTTATTTATAGACTATAACTATAATATTTTTAAAATAATTTAATATAATATTATATAGTATATACTAACTATTATTTAGGTAAATTCTTTAGAGTGGTGGAAGAATAATATAGAGAAATTTCCTATTTTATCTATATTAGCAAGAAAATACTTAGCTATACCTCCTACTTCTGCTACAGTAGAAAGTAGTTTTAACTAGTCTAGTAATATTATTACTAAAAGAAGAACTAATTTAATAAATAATACTAGAAAAAAATTAATGCTTTTAAAAGGCTGGCAACAATCTAGTAATTTAGAGGGCTTAGATAGCTCTTTTTATATACCTAAGATATATAGTAGTTTATTTAATATAGGCTTTGAATACTTATCTGAAGAAGAAGGGAGTATTATAGAAGAAGAAGTAAAAGATAAAGAAATAGAAGATTTTGAAGAAGTAGAAGAGATAGAAGAGGATTCTAGTTACTAAGAGCTATTTATTATATAGTTAGTTATTATATAGTTAGTTATTATATAGTTAGTTATTATATAGCTAGGTATTAAAAGCTATTTATTAATTTTTATATAGTTAGTTATTATATAGTTAGTTATTATATAGTTAGTTATTATATAGTTAGTTATTATATAGTTAGTTATTATATAGTTAGTTATTATATAGTTAGTTATTAAAAGTTATTTATTATATAGTTAGCTATTAAAAGCTATTTATTATATAGCTAGTTATTATATAGTTAGTTATTATATAGTTAGGTATTAAAAGCTATTTATTATATAGTTAGTTATTATATAGCTAGGTATTAAAAGCTATTTATTATATAGTTAGGTATTAAAAGCTATTTATTATATAGTTAGTTATTATATAGTTAGTTATAATATAGTTAGTTATTATATAGTTAGTTATTATATAGTTAGTTATTATATAGTTAGTTATTATATAGTTAGTTATTATATAGTTAGTTATTAATAGTAACTTTAGTATAGTTATAGTATATTAATATATTATACTTTAAGTAATATATAGTTCTTTTATCTATATTACTTATATAGTACTAGTAGTAAATACTTATAAATAATACTTAATAAACTTTACTATATCTTAGTTTTTAAGTATACTATATTTTAAATAAAATATATAAATAATACTATACTATAAAAGAAGGTTAATAGTACTATATATAATTAATTTACTAATTTTTAATTATTTTTATTTTTTATATTGTATAGTTGTATATTATATAAAATACAATACAGATACAATATAATACAAATACAAATACATGTATTGTCTTTCCTATACGATACAATACAAATACATGTATTGTATTTGTATTGTATTGTATTGTATTTGTATTGTATTTTTGTATTATATTGTATTTTATATTTTTTTTAAACTCTCTGTTAACTATAAGTATCTGCTTAGGTTTTACTATAAAAGTAGCCTTCTTAAGCTTCTTCTCTTTATAGGCAGAGAATTTACTATCTATAAGGCTAATTATATTATTTATTTATATACTAATTAATCTAAAGTTACTATTATTAGGTAATAATATTAATAGGCAAAGGTTAAAGGTTAATAAATCTATCTAGAGATTCTCTTTATAATAGTAGTTATAAGTTACTTACTAGTAGGTTTTTGCCTCTATAATACTATATAATAGCTTAGTTACTATTATTATTATATTTACTTAGTAAAGATAGTAAATTTACGTAGGTAGGTAGGCAAGAATAACGTAATTTAATAGTGTTACTAATTAGGTATACGCCTAGGTAATATTATATAACTAGAGGAGAAATCTACGTTAAAGTAGTAAAAGGGTAAAGGCAAAGATTAATTACTAGGCTATTTACTAGATAGTAGGTAACTATATAAGAATTATTTTTTTACTATTATTTATATAGCCTTAGATAATAAGCTATAATTTCTTATAAGGCTATTTATTCTTGCTTTTTACTTTATAAACTATATATAATTTAAATATATAGGTGTTACTATAGGATTTCTTATTATAGGTAATAATATAAAATACACTATAGTTAACAAGGGCTTTTACCTTTGCCTTATTAGATTCTTTAAAAGGTTTACTAGGTGTAGTAATAACCTCTTTTTTATATAGCTTAATAGTAAGTGTATAGTCTACTTCTTCCTTTGTAGTTAAGAACGCTATAGTTATAGTAGGTTATATCTCTATAAAGAATATAGGTATTAGGTTCTTTTATAGGCAACTATAGTATTATTATAGTAGTTTATTATTAATAATAATAGTATTATATACTTCCTTTTTAGCGTTAGGTATCTCTATAGAGTCTTCTTACGCTTATATAGTGTACATAGGATTATCTTTTACTTACGTAGAGTAGCTAGTAGGTTTATCTAGCGCAGAGGGGTCTAGTTAACCTTCCTCTGTGTAGTAGGGTTTTACTATAGTAATCCTAAAGTTATATAGGCTATAGGGTAAATTAATAGTGTAAGTAGTACTATTATTAGTAATAAGGTAAAATAGGCCTTACTAGCTATATTTTTTATATTATATATAGACAAAGGATTAAAGGGGTAAGGTAATAGTATTAGTTAAATCTAGGCTATTATATATTATTAGTGCTTTATAGAGCTATTACTTTATATAGATTTAGTGTACTACGTTTATTACTTTCTTAATAGCTTTAGTACGCTACACAGTGGTTATAGTAGGTAGTAACTTATTAGTTATTTAGGGGTATATACTAAAATAAAGAGAGTTAGGATAAGGCTATCTAGGCTAGTAGTATTATTAATTACTTTAATAGTAAGTTAAAGGTAACTTTAGGTTTAGTACTAGTTTCTTTATAAATAATCTTATAGGCGTAGTAAAAAGGTATATAATAGTGCTTAACTTTACTAATACTATAATAGGCTCTAATAGGCACTTTTTTTACTTTAATAAATAACCTATAGGTAGTATATTTAAACTTACTAAAGTAAAAATTTAGGCTAGCGTTAGTTATTATTTAATTAGGTAGGCTAAGATATACGTTAATTTAGTATATCTATAGTGCTTCCTATATATACTCTATAGTAATAGATTACAAGAATCTTACTACATTAAACACTATTACTACATTAACTATATAAAGTACTAGTTTATTACTATTAAGATACATTATATTAATAAAGATCTTATAGTTAAACTTACTATTATTATATAGCGTAAACTTAAAGTAACTAAGGGCTTTAGAGTATAATTAGCAGTAGTAGTAGTACTTATTAATAGCTTTAATTAATAAGAGAGAGGTATTTTCTCTAGTGTGTTTAAGTAGCTTATAAAGCTATTAAATAGATAGGTAGCTAAATTACTAGTAGATTTAGTATAATTTACTATCTATTAGGTGTTACCTAGTAATACTTTTCTCTAGTAGTTATAAAAGCATCTATAGGTAGCTAAATTAGTAAATAATAGGTATAACGTTATTACCTTAGATTAGCTAGTTAGTAAGGTTATTAAATTTTATACTATAATAGTCTATATCCTTTAAGTAAAAGAGAAATAAAGTATTAGTAGTTATTATATAAAAAACAAGGTTACTAAGTAGTATAGGTATATTAATTACCCCTAGGGATTTAAAGTAATTACTACTACTAAAGTAAATACTTACTTTACTTACTTAGGCAGTATTTATAAGTATCTTTTTACCTAAGTAGTACTAGAGGGCAAAGTATTACTTATAACTAGTAGTTAATTTCTTAGCTATACTAGTGTTAAGTATAATACTATAAAAAGTTATTACTAAATAGCGCTTATTAAGTATAAATATTTTGTTAGTTTTTATAGTCTTGCTAAGTAATAGCTTCTCTAGTAGGTTCTTATAGGTAAGTATATAGTAGTTGCCTAGTTATATAACTTAGAGAACATAGTTAGGCTATTAATTAATAGTTATATAAAAAGGTAGTAAATATAAAGAACACTATATTTATATAGTTATTATTATTACTAGTAGGTTATTTATTACTATTACTTGCTTCTTAGAGATAACTTATATTATAACCTTTATAGTTAAAAGAAAGTAGTTAAAGGTAGCTATAAAGCTTATATAAAGTAGGTGCTTTTATACTAGTTAAACAAAGATTACTACTTCTCTTTAGTATACTTAGTTAACTAATAACTAGGCTTACTATAGATAAAGTACTTCTTAGTTAATTTATTACTACACTAGTTTTTACTATAGTAGTTACTCTATAAAGAATCTTATATTTACTATAGATTAGTATAATTATTATAGCTACTATTATACTTATAGTTAACCTAAAATTACTTATCCTCTATAGTAGATTTATCTATAGGGTATTATATAGGTAGCTTATAGTAAAGTAAGGTATTTACTGCTTTATTATATAGTTATATATAGAGGCTATAGAATATAGCTAGTAGGTTAAAGAGAGCTATAGTACACTTAGGTATACTATAGTAATAGGTAATAAGGTATTTATAATAATCCTTATCCTTAGGTAAGCTATTATAAGTAGTTGCCTTAACTAGTTTAGTAACCCTTTTAATAAGTAACTTAAGAATCTTAAGCTTATTCTTACTATAGTTTTTATAAGTAATTAAGTTAAATAATATATAGTAAAGCTTAGTAATATAGGCTAAGTATACCTTATTACCTTTAAATTATTCTTTAAGCTTTACTATTAGAGTATTAAAATTACCTGCCTACTAGTAGAGGGTAAAGGTATAATACTCTTATAGTTCCCTTAGAGTATTACTTAAATTACTACTCTATAGTAGTCTTACGTTATACTTACCTAGACATAAAGGTTATAAATAATAGTAATTTTAAGTTAATAGTTTATACTAGCTACTAGTATATTTATAGCCTAGTTATTAAAGTATATCTTTATAAGGTTACTTATTTACTTTAGCGTTAGCCTTAATATTACTATTAATATTACTATAGTTAACAAGAGCTCCTATGTAGCGCAGTGGTTATTACACATAGGCTATAGATTTTAGCTATTACTTAGGGTTTTAGCGTTAACAAAGGCAGTAGCAGGGTAAAGGTTAGGTTATTATAGGAGGTCTAATAGGTAATTACTAGTAATAGGCACACTTTAGCTAGTTTTTTACTATATAGGATTA